GACAAGTACCAAATGATTTCACTCATATGTGGAGTATAAGAACAAAGAAAAACTGAAGGAACAAAACAGCAGCAGAATCACAGAACCCAAGAATGGACTAACAGTTACCAAAGGGAAAGGGACTGGGGAGGACAGGTGGGGAGGGAGGGATAAGGGGGAAAAAGAAAGGGGGCCTTATGATTAGCATGTATAATGTGGGGGGTGCATAGGGAGGGATGTTAAACACAGAGAAGACAAGTAGTGATTCTACAGCATCTTACTATGCTGATGGACAGAGGACTTGAAGGGGGGAGTCTATTAAACATAATGTTCCTCATGTAATTGTAGATTAATGATACCAAAATAAAAAAAATACTAGAAAGGAGTATATAAATATGACAATAGTGGGGTTCTTGGTAATTGTCCACCCCTCCTATTATATGAACTTCTTGCTGTATTACTTTCATGCTTTTAAAGAAAGTTATTCAGAAAGGAAGAGGGGGTAGATATGATGAGAGTTGAGCACATTCTCCCTAAAGTAATACAGAAAAATAGCTGGAAGGTGAGGGGTGTGACCCTGAGAGATGGGGAGTAACACAAAGAATTTCTTCTAAGAAGCTCGGGTTTGTGGATCTGACCATAATTGGAGACAATGCAACTTCGCTCATCCTTGACAGTAGTAAGATCTGCATTGTCATGTTGTGGGAGACAACAAACTAAGCAGGCTTATCAGTTTCATAAAGTGTACTGGTTACAGCCAGGAAAATGCAATAAAGTCGTTTTGCGGTCACTGCCTCCAGGGGGTCAGTTGCGGTCCTGGAGACATAATTCAAGTGCTGGTTAATCACGGTGTGGGTTGACAAAATGTTAGAACTCACTGCCTTTAGATACGCTGCTGTTTGGCGGTCCAGTTTGCTTCCATTCACAATCTAGTGTTGGATTTTATTTTTCCTGTGGTTAGATCCTGGTTGGTATGTGGACCTCAGTGGCCACTGCTGATGCTGCAGTATTGGAGGGTCTGCTGAGGGTCTCGGCCTCTTGTATGGAGACCTTCATGCCCACCTCCTCTACCTCCCAGGTGCCCAGTGGCACCATGTTGGACTCTCTGGGCTTTGCCAGAGCCCTGGTGGGGCATGAGATGTCACAGCATTGTACTTCCTTATGATTTTCATTTTCTGGATGCTTAAAGTGTCTTTTCCTTTTTAAACTCTTAACAAACCATAAAATGAACTGCAAGTGTTCAGAGAAATGTTTGAATCAGGTTATTCTGACTTCTAAGTTACCTATAACTGTCATTTTGTGAGGCACGATTGACAGTTGAGATCCAATAATATTGATGCTCCATTTCATTTTTATTTATTTATAATTACCTAAAGTACAAGGACTGCAAGGAAGTTTGAGATACTGGAGAAAACCAGTTTAAACTCAAGAGGCCTAGGTTCCAGTCCTCAATCCACCATGATTTATAGTATCTCCCCACACCCCAAAACTGTATAGGGATGTGGATTAGATATTCCCAAAGATCTTCTCCAGCTCCAACATTCTGTGATGCTGTTATTTTAAGAGAAGGCGTACACTGTTGCCATTTCATTATGTAATTAAAGCAGGTTCACATATTGAAGCAAGCAATACCTTGCATGAGGAATATTTAAAACAAGGGCATTAATAATTTATAAGGTGCAGAGCGACTAGAAACATTTAACTGGCTGAAGTTCCGTCCAAATAGAGCAGGATATAAGTGGGAAATACATCGCAACTGTATACTGAACAGAATAGTCCTAAACGAGTAATACCTAAAATCTATTTTAAAAGCTTTCAGCAAATCTATGGGAAGAGTAATTTTAGTTAGTATTTCTGAGATTAGCCAGTTTACACTGGTTGAATGAAATTTCTTATCTCACCTTTAAATGTATGGGCCCGTGTTTTTACTTTACAATGTGTCTCCTACAGGTGGGCTCGGTGGTGGCTGTGGGCTGGATCCGCTCGCGGAAGGCCGTGGACTGGCGCCTCTTCCGGAACATCTTTGTGGCCTGGTTTGTGACTGTCCCCGTGGCTGGCCTGTTCAGTGCTGCTGTCATGGCCCTCCTCATGTATGGGATCCTTCCATACGTGTGATGTCTTCCTCCAGCCAGTGCACAAGGGGTAGTGTGGTGTGGGTCCGTGTGGGAGGTGTGTGTCCATGCTCCTGCCCATACATGGGCTCCCAGCCGGCATCTCCGTGTCCCTTTCATACGGTTCCAAACATATTGTTCGCCTAGGCTGTAGAGTCACCCTCCAGAGCTCACTTAGCTACTGTACATGATGTGTGCATTAAACTGGTATTGTGGTGATATAACATGGTGCAGTTGCTTACATATTAAATACATACTGTATACATAGAATAGGTAGCATTATTTCAAACATATTCAAAATGGAGTGGAGATAATTGCCTAGAATTCAGTGTTCAACACATCTTTGTACATAATAATTTCAGTAGCAAACTTTAAGAACCTTTTAAAAAGAAAATGTAGATTGGAAAATATTTTTCCCATTTAATACAGTGTAAGATTGTGTTGTGGGATGGATGATCCAAATTTCTGGAGGTGTGCTTACGGTGGTGTGCTATTGAATAATACTGGAACAGGAGTTCACAAGTGCTTTCACTGAAGAATTTGTTCATATACTGTGTACTGATTATGTAATATATCACAATTGCATTTGTAAATACTTCAAAGTGTAATTTTTTTTAATGGTGTGCTTCCCTTATACTATTTGGGTCAGAGAATTTTGGAAAGTACCAAAGAAGCAGGGGATAGTTTGCCAGTGTTACATTTTCACACTGTCTCCCCTTCCCATGTCTGCCTGGGGTGTAGTGAGACTGCCATGCTCTGCCCCACTCCAAGCAGTGTACATGGGGAGGCTCCCTGGCCCCCAGCACTGCCGCCATGTGCCAGGCAGTGGTCGCCCCATGGTGGCCCCTCACCATCATCGGTGTAGGGAGCGTGCAGACATGAGGACATGTGATCAAGCACTACATACAAGTCCAGCCTAAATCTCCCTCTTTGCCCCTGCAGCCTGGAGAACGGGGTTCTTGTCTCAGACACTGAGGCTAGTGCTTTGACGTTCTAGATCTGGGGCGGGGAGAGATGACATATCAGACAATACACTGGATTTGAGGATCTCCTCGAGGCCTTTACCAAGCTGACCGTCCTGAGGCTCCACTGTGGTCCCAGTGGAGGCGTCTTTTTTGATAGTGGGAGGGAAGAAGTATGACTGTGTTAGAGCCTGAAACTATGGACATGCTGCTAATATTTTTATATTGACAAACATTTTCTTGGTACTTCATTGTGATTTTTCATTAATCAACCACATTAAATTTATAATAAAAATGCCCCTCAAAAGTTTGCCTCTGGTCTTTTTCTAAATGTATGTTTTTCGTGCAAAGTTTCCACAAAAATAAAAGCTATATAATTTGGTTACTTTTGTTTTTCAAATATATATTTTTTAATTTTACTACTATTACATGTTGAGCAGAAAATGCCCATGAGCAAGAGAAGGGAAGAGGGACCTGCACTGCCCGCATCCGGAAACCCCACTGTTAACACGCGGGCAGGTGCCCGGGCCGTCTGGTGAGCTGCACCCCTCGCCGTCCAAGGGTCTTTGTTAAAGCGAGTGTCACACACTCAGCCTTTCCCACCCGACCCTTCAGCTGGCCAGACTTTCAAGGGTGGTTGGGCGGTCATGCACAAGTTCAGAGCCGAGGACCCACATCCTACCTTTCTTCTTGGCTCAAGCATCCAAAGACGATAAAAGCACACCTGCCTAGCGGTCAGGAACTTTGGCAAACTCCCTCCGCCTCCGCAGAGTCTCGCTCCATTTACTGCCAGCACCAGGCAGGTGACAGAGATGAGGAAAGCAGGCCCGGGGTTCATCTCTGCAAGGAAATTTGCCCTGTCTGATTTTTAAAATGGCATTTGGACCTTTCAGTTCCCCAGTTTTGGTAAAGCCATTGATTGAAGAAGTTGGATTTCCTCCTCCGTACTTGTAGGAACAGCACGGCATAGAGCCGCTGTGAGGCTGCACGGTGGATAGGGAAGGGCTGCCTTCTCCCTAGCAGCAGGTGTTGGAGGCAGAGCCCAGGAAGCAGAGCGTGACCTTTAATGACAAAGCCCCCAGCCCTGGAGAGAGAAGCCTTACCCACTGCACCCCTCCCCAGCCTCTCCTTCCTCATGAGGGCACGTCGGGGAGCTCAGGCAGAAGGGTCCCCAGGGAGGGAAGGGGAGGGGACCCTCGTAGAGAGAGGGCTGCCTGCCTGGGGACCCCTGAGAGTCACCTGAGTTTCTTGGCTTCTCCCTTTAAAAACACAGACACTGCTGGACAGGAACTCCGGTGTCCCCGGCACCTCACTCACTGTCACCAGATCCTCTGCCGGGCATAGCGCTGCCTGAGCTAGGAGGGGCGCCCTGTGGGCCGCTGCCTTCCTGTGTCTGGGAGCCTCTCCCAGGGCCCAAGTCGGCAGCGGGCACAGGCTGCCAGCAGCAGCTTGCACTCAGAGGCAAAGCTCCTGTACTTCATCTTTTGCCTTTCTAAAAAGACTAACCATTTGAGTAAATGTGTAAACACGTTTATTCACCTTCTACAAGGTAATTTTTTAAATAAGTGTTAGGCTGGAGGAAGAAAAAAGGACATGCAAACAGCAGAGATACCATAAAAGGAGAACAGACCAGACCCCAAGGTCCGTGCCTTATATGGAAAGGGGACAGCTCTTCCTGAATTCCATCCTTCTGATGAGCCAACTAAGACCCAGATGTCAGCCTCCTCCCTCTTGGAAGGAAAAAAGTTCCTAGTTGTCTATCATGTCACCTTTAGCCAATCATACCTCTCCACGCCCCCTAGGATAGTTTGCCCACTCCTCCTCCTCCTAACCCCTTATAAACCACCCCCACCTTCCTGACCTGGCTCGACTTCCCCAGCCTGTAACTAGCCAGACCTCAAAAGCTGTTCCTTTCCTCAGAAAATGGTGATACGTGAAGATGTGGGGCACCAGTGGGCTCACGCAGGTACAGCGCAGCCAGAGGACGGTGCCTGAGGGTGGGTGGTGGCCCCGGAGCGAGGCCCGATCTGCCCACTGCCTCCAGGTGCAGGCCCAGGCTGCCTTCACCGGCGGCCCCACACCGTCGGCTCCGGCTTCCTCCCGCGGGCAGGACACCCTGCATGGCTGTAAGGAATCTGGGGGTCAGCACGGCGGAAGGGGCTGCCCCAGCCTGGCCGGTGTCGGGCTGTGGAAGCGAGCGGTCACCCCCTCCCTGCAGACGGACCCTTCCTCACTACCTCCCTTCTATCGGCACGGTTCCCCTTGAGAGGACAGCTCGGAGGAGAGCATCACGTTAGATGGCAGAGAAAGGGAATAAAAGGCAAGCCAGAGAGATGACACAAAACCTCTCGAAACTGAAAGAAATGAGAACGGGCTCTGCCTGCTTGGTGGGGGGGACTGGTAAGACCCAAAGAATGTGGTGACATGCCCGTGCCAGCCCTGTGCTTCAGTTGTCACCCTCTTAAATATTCTACAGCACATCATCTTTTATTATTGAAAGGATGTTTTGTTTATGAAACCCTGACACATATCATGAAAAGGAAGAAGTCATCTGTGCCCTACGAGGTGAGACACTGAAACGTCAGTCTTTGAAACACATGGGGCTGACCAGGCACAGGGGACAGAAACCAAAGCATGGAGTGAGAAAAAGCTTAAGAGTCAAGTGGTCACAGGGCCAGAGGAAGCCCCAGGCCCCGACCTGCCAGCCCCTTCCTGCTCTTCACGTCACACTGTCCATGATACGGTCTCGTCAGAGGAGGACCATGCAGGGGGCCGGGGGAAAGGTTCAGTGGAGGGGCAATGAGAGGCAGTGGAGAACTTGCAAAGGAAGCCTGGGAAGAAAGCATGGGAGGTTTATTCTGCGTGTTTTTATAAAAGGAACATGAAGAATTAAATCTGGTTTTAAGTAAGGAATTTCAGGCTCAACAAGGTGCCTGGCGGGCAGCTGACAGAAATTTGGAGGTCAGGAGAGCGTCCTCAGATGGAGGTAAGCTCTGGGCGCGGTCAGCTTCAGGAGGCAGCTGCCAGGGAGGCAGGGCAGTGGCGTCCCAGGGCTGAGCCGAGGGAGGGTAGGAGATCCCCCAGGAAGCCCAGCGCCTTACGGTCTGGATACAGGGCCCAGATGGACAAGCCAGATCTCCAGAGGAGGGAGGGGGTGGCTGTGGCCCAGCAGCAGGCACACCGAGTGCCACGCTGGCTCCGCCCCGCGCCTGCACGACCTTCAGCATCACACTTGGCCTCTCTGCCCAAGGCCCCATCTTCCTCTGGGGGAGACTGACAGTGCAGATGCCCCTCTCCTCCTGGCCACCCAGCCTGGCAGGAAGACTGGCTAGCCTTCTGTGGTGCCGATGAAGCTGTTGGCCTCCACCCACTAACACCTTGTCCTAAATCACAACTTGTTTAAAACCTGAGTGAGGAAGAATGGTGCTCTCATCAGACCACCCTTATTCTAAGAAGGCTCCTGAGGCGTATCAGAATCTCTGCAGACGTATTTTTAAAAAGCTCTTCACACAAAAATGACATCAGGGTGCAGAGGCAGAGGAGGTGGAAGACGAAACCTGAATAGCGGCATTTAAGTGGACAAAAGAAAGGGGCAACTGTTCCCAAAGGGAGACAGGCAGAGGGACTGAGTCAGAGCACACCAAGCAGGCGCTTCAGAGGTTCGTCGTAAAGGGAAGGATGGTCTCCACGTGCAGAAAACATGGCAAATGCCATGTGTGCGCACACAGGCAGCACTCAGGGAGGCCCCGAAATGCTTCAGCTCTTCCTTAGGGCTCCTCTGGCCCTGGTTTTGGAACCCAGGGTTTGGCCAGGTGGGCAGTGAGCTTCCAAGGGCAGACATTCAGTAACTAATGACACCGTGGGACATTTGCTGTCCTCTGCCCCCTCAGCAGCGGTGCTCAGAGGATGGTCATGGATCGGCAGTGTGCCCTGCCGTTCTCCTGGTCTCTTGCAGGAGTAATTATCCTCTGACCACAAGCGACAGCAGTGCTATGCTGGATCCTGCCACTGGGTACCTTTCCTAAGGGTGGCAGGTAGAAGCCGCTGGTTCTTCCCGGCCTAGCTGATGTCTCTGATCAGCCCGGGGCCCCACCGCAGAGCCAGTCCCACTCACCACCTGAGGAAGTGGCCTGATGTGCTACGCGTGGGGCCTCTTGCCTTTCTCAAACAATAACATTAACTACAAGAGTTTCCCTCATTACAGAAATAAGAAATTCACTTTAGAAAACCAGGAAAATATAGTAAGAATAAAAATTATTTATGATAGTAGTTTCCTGAGATAACGAATATCAATACTTTGAAGCATTCTCTCCTGCATTTTTTTTTTTTTGGTATCATTAATCTACAGTTACATGAGGAACATTGTTTAGTAGACTCCCCCCATCACCAAGTCCCCCCCACATACCCCATTACAGTCACTGTCCATCAGCATAGTTGCATATACTTTTAGAAAAATTAAATTGTGATTCATTTTTTACTTTGCTTTTTCTGTTTAATATATTCTGATCAATCCTTAATCGTTTTCATTCTTGAAAAACATGATTGTGGTTGAATAATACTCCATTTAATCACTGATTTAAACATTCCCCTACGGATGCATGTTTGGACAGTTAAGTTTTCCTCTACCTGCACCACAGTCCACTGACATGAAATCCATATACACTGGAATATCCGTTCTCTGCTCCCAGCTGCAAAAGGTCACAGACTGAAGAAGGCCAGAATCATTAATTTTGAGATTAAGACTCAAAAGGCAAGGCTGAGGATCCTAGCAGTGTCCTGAATAAGTCAATTCTAAAAATTAAATAAAAGCAAGTGAGCGGCCGCAAGAGTTATAAGGCAACTGGAGAGGCGGGGAGGGGGGAACCAGGGAAGAGGAGGAGAGAGAGGGCGGAAGGGGCAGTAACTGGCGTGCGGGTGCCTTTTCTGGGGAGGGGACAGAGCCATGAAGAACTGCCACTGCAAGAAGGCTGCCTCGGGTGCCCTTCAGGGCTTGCTTTCCTGGTTATGAGGATTAAATAGGCTGTCATACAAGGAGATGAGGACAACAGCTAGCACATAAGCTCAAGAAATGTGCTTTCTACTATGACTTAATGACACCCCCCAATGATGAGGGTACTTGATACAGCCTTGCCAGCTGTATGATTCAATAAAACTATGGAATAAAGGCTGAATTTAAGCTGCCTATGCTTGTATCTGGATTACTGTATCAGTACAAAATTGGGCTCTTTAGCTCTGCAATAACAAACTTAAAGGGACAGGACAAGAAAGGGAAACCCCAGAGACCTCTAGCAATCCTCTTCAGCTATCCTCATCAGATCAACCACTGGGGACTCACTGAGGCGTGCATCTTGTCAGTGTTTCCCTGTATCTCCTCAGGCCCCCACCCCATCTTGTCCAGCCCCCACCCTTCACACCAGGCTGGAGAAGTGCCCACAGCACCACTACTCTGACACACGGCAGTTCACACTTATCCATGCCTCACTTATCCACACAGCAGTGCTCAGCCCGCCCCACATCCCATCCACACTCATGCTGTAACGTTCTTCCAGTCAACACAGGCCGCTGTCAATGCACCAAACAAAGTTACTCATCCCTCCTCTCCTTTCCTGCTATGCCTTATCTCCTATAATGGTGGCTTAACCCACAAAGATGAGAAAATAAAAGCCCCTCATGTGGTGGCTATCAGGTATTCCCTGACCTAACAAGTGGTGGTTGGAATCTGGGTTCTAGTAAAAATACTCTTTGGTGGTAGTAGGGGAAATACCTTGTTAGTGCTGAAATTTTTCAAAAAGCAATAATGGCTAGTTTGTATTTTTAAGATGATACATTTGGAAACTGAGCAAGGAATCTGAACAGGCAAACCAGAGAATTATAAATCATCAGTAAACATGAAAACAGCTCCATCTCTCTGGCCATTAGGGAAACACAAATTAAACCACCACACCATTGTTCAGCTCTAGAGTCATGTGGGGCGATGGGCACTCCTACCCACCACCGGTAGAAACACCAACTGGTGTAACTACTACAGGGCTACAGCCTGTACCAGCATCTGTACGACGTATGCCACCTGCACTAGGACTGTCAGCGCGCCTCCCGGCCCTGACTTCACCATGTCACCTCCGGAGACCTATCCTGTGGAACCGCACTAAGAAACACGGCCACCAGCCACATGGAGCTATTTAATTAAAACAGAGTTACAGGTTGAGTTCTTCCACTGACCCAGTTACATTTCAAGAGCTCAACAGGCAGGTGAGGCTAGTGGCTACCATATGACATGAGTCATTTCATCATCACAGAAGATTCTACTGGGCAGTGTGGCTGTGGAAATACTCACGAAGTGGACAAAGATATTCAATACAGCACTGTTCAAAGAACAAAAAACTGAATATAAGCAAACAAGTGGAAGAGTTAATGTCACACTTATACTAAAGTATAATAAAAAATATGAGGCAGATCTAACTGAACATAAAGAGGTCTCTGACATCTTTAGTGTATGGCAAAACAAGAAGTACATTTTAACATTATATAAAACATAATTATGTTTTCATGTAATCTCTATAAAGACACTGAAAATTATGGGCAACTGTCAGTAGAAGAAACAGGGTTGAAGGGAAGAATGGGAATTTTCACATTTATGTCAAAACTGAATTTGTTGCAATCAGCATATATTGTGTGAACAAAAGATTTTCAGGTGCTCTTAGAAAGATGATTTACCAGCAAGCCCTGAAGATACGACTGTTTACTCACTTCCTTTTCCAAACTTTATTTCCAGTCTGTGGTTACCATTTTTCCAGCTCTAGGAATCAGAAATACTTTCCTGAGGGTGGGAGGAGTCCCACACGCAGTGGCGCTCCGGCCTCCCGCCGCCTGCGGTGCCCCCTGCTCTCCAGCTGCTGTGCACCACCACCACCACCACAGTGCACAGGACTGCACGGGACGGGGGGCACTGTCCACTCGCCTGCCTGCAGAACAGCCCTCGGGCTGAGGCAAACACAAGTGAGGGGACAGGAGCAGATATCCAGGCACAAGCCCCACCAAAGAGGCTGTTGTTCAGAACAGAATCAGAACCATAGCAGATGTAAGAAAACCACAACCAACAAATCAGAAGAGGAATTATGTTCTAAATGTGACAGGTTTATTTGATTTTACGCTGATGAAAACCAAAGATTCCACTACAGCACAGAGACCAATTATTAAAAGGTCAGGAAAAAGTGGTGTGGGACATGCAGGGTGTGATGTACAAACAGGAGGATCGGTGGTTTCCTTTGTAATGTGACACTACGTTGTCACTGAGGAACACATTAAAATAACACTGCGGAATTCAACTGAAATGTGGCACAAACATGACAACTTCCAGGCATGCCTTCAAGCACCTCCCTTAGGATGGACCTGTGATCTCTAGACTTCAGTGTGAGGAAGATTACAATTCTTTGGAAGAATAAAAAGTTCACACTTTTGAAATTTCACAGAATTTTAAGGCCAAAACATAGTGGGTTCATTTCTCTTCACCTCCAGGGACAAATCTGCTTTCCTCAGAACCACATTAAGCTTCTAATTCAAAGCCCAAGCCAACCTTGTGACCTCCTGCATTGAAGTTCTTTCCATCGATTAAAGCCGACAGGGTCAGTTTGACGCCTAGGAAGAAGAACACACCACATCACTTGTAGCACCAGTAAGAGCCACACTTCCTAGACAGAGTGACGGACCCCATGGCATGACGAACAGTGGGGCCCAGGGGCTACGAGATCACAGCCACGGCTGAGGTAACAGGGTCACCTACCGCCACCTGCCCTGTAAGGAGGGAAGCCTACTGAACTCTGTCAGGGCTAAATGTCATGAGCAATCAGCCGAACCGGTGAGCCAGAGCAACCACAGCATACCTAGGAGTACATAGTTAAGCACAAGTGCTTGATATGTTTTACTTCAAACAACCAAACATTCTGAAATGGTCTGAATCTACCTACAGTGACTGCAGGCTGTTTTACAGGTCATTCTCATTATTCCTCTATCACCTTCTACCTGGCCCCATTATTATTAACTCTTACTTACCTGGTCGAAGGGTCTGAGTGTAACCCAGTCCGATCAGGCTGGCATTATTTACTTTAGCCTAAGATTAGGAGACGCAATAGAAACAGTTAGAAGGCAGTCAATTTCATGATATGTAAGTCCAGTACAATCAGCATTTCATGCATCACATGTCCAAAGCTAAAGCACCTTAAGGCCAATCCAGAACTACTGAAACTGAACATGTAAGTAACAAAAAGACACATCTTTTCAAGTTAATAGGACTAGCAGGGATAGTAGAGACTTTGAGGCAGTGTGGCTGAAGGCCTCAAGCAAAATTCTGAGAACACCATGAGCTGAGCACTATGGTGTGGCCCTCGGCGAGCCACCTGGCCTCCCGTCTGTAAAGGAGGCGAGGGCATGGCTCGCCCCACGGACTGGTTGTATGGCTTAAATGAGAGTGCCTGGCGCAGCGCCTGAAATTTAAGTGCTCAATCAGTGTTACTATTAGTAAGAATTACTAACAGGAAGAGTAATCAAATCCGATGACTTTACAGATAAGAACATTTTGAGGCCAAAAAGAGAAACTGACTTGAGAAGGTCAGACAACAGCCAAATATGGGAGGAACTAGGACGAGAACCCACATATCCTGACTTCAGGTAAAATACTCTGTTCCCTACACACTGACTCGCTCATTAAAGGTAGTACCATGCCAACTACAACCATATCACAATATCAATTCACAACTCAGAAAGCCCAAGAGCACATCTGATCTGGTAGCCCAGCCTTACAGACAGAGAAGTTCTACAATCCAGCTTGTATTTAGCAGCGATGCCAAAACGGGTGTTGTTACTGCCAGCTGTCCAAGCAAGGTTTATTGACGTTTCTATCTTCTCATTAACCTTCTGGTAGATAGACCCTCCAAATTCAGTGCCGTCGTTCCTGCGTCCATGGTGTAAGTGGTAAGTATCCAGTTTGTCCCATTGTTATAACATGGAAACAAATTCTAAGACTATCTAAACAAGGATCTCATTTTTCATCTATAGATTTCAGCAAACTTCTAGCATACATGACTAACAAATAAGCAACTAAATCTAGTTATGTGATTAATAACCACCTAAATAAGATTCATTTACTTGGCTTCTTCACAGGATGTAAATGTCTTAGAGACAATCCAGTTATGCATATAGGCAGACACCAGCCAATCTAAAGGTCTCTTTAAGATGTTCACAGAATTTAGAAACTTAAAGTTGAGCTCAATAGATTCTGTACACACACAAAAAATTAACATATATATTGCAGCACAAGTGCAAAAATAAAGCCAATTCTGGGTTTTATTTGGAACACAGTCCTAGGGTCAGACAGCACCCTCCCTACAATACTTAGGGTGTGCTGCTCCAGAAACATACCTAAATTATTGCTCCAAAGCATCCCAGTAGTCCCTGAGTTTCATGGTTTTCTTGATAATGTTGTTTCATCAATTTTAAAGCCACTGTCTATACATACCACCGCTTGGCTTTATTTTACTTATCCTAAGTGAATTAGAACATCTGGTGGACAGCAATAAAAAACACACAGCTCACCCTTTGCTTTTTCTTCCTGGTACAGTATTAGTGCCTAGTTGGCCAAGACATAAAACAATTTAAAGATTCAAATCTATCAGGTTTACTTTGAGCACTTGTGCTATTTTTGAATGCAACAGAGGTGGCTGGGTTCTAACAAAGGGTATCTGAGGACCTCCAGAGAATTGCTGGGGATGCCCAGATCAATTTGGTGGATTTTTTCCCAGATCCACACAAACCTGCTTCCTGATATTGCCAAGCTGAGTAAGGCACCAGAGAAAGCAGGAACCTCTCCAAAGGATCCCTTAGAGCAGGAGGAGACCTGTGCCCTGCGGGTGTCCTAGAGCTGCTAAGCTTGGGCCCCAGGCCACAAGGCCAGGAACAACCAGAAGCATAGCACGGTGCACCAAGTGCACCACCCTCTGGCAGTGTTTTGCTGACATGACTGTGAAAACAGTACAGTGAGGTTGGACATATTAAATGCCAACACCATCCAACCCTCTAACCTTCTCAGTACGCTAGCTGCCATCTTCCTGGGTGACTGCACTGGCACCAAAGGAAGAATGAATTATACATACTCACACGTGAGTGTGCAGCTGGAAGTCTACAGCCTTGTAACCCAGGGCAAAATTATTCTGAGACAGTCTGGATTTGGCTGTGTCAAAACTCATCTGATAGCCAGCAAGCCAGCCTTCAAAAGCTAACACAGCCCAACCATAGATGGTTGGTCCAGAAAAATCTATATCAACATTACTGCCAAGACTGAAACACTCTCGCTTATAGGAAGCCTTTAATTTCCCACTCTTCTTTCTGTAAAAAAATAACACAATGAAAACATGAGTTTCTACTACTTTCTGAAAAATCTTTAGAGTAAGATGTCCCCACCCACCAAGGCAAGTATTATTTTAGTAGATGGCATACATACAGTAAAAATGTTTTCAACGACTTAGCTCTACAAATGTATCTTGTTAGGATTATACCATATTTTACCTATTCCTCACTTTAAGTTCACATGATAGGCTATGTCATAATTAATTTCATGAAGGTATGAACAAAAGTATAAAAAGAAATAGGTATTTCAGTACCAAATTTATTATTTAGACGTGTATGTATGCAGACATACAAGACACCAAATCTCTTTAAATGTTTCCAAATGCACAGAAGGTAACACTCAACACACTTCACTTCTAATTTATTGACCTACTATGTAGTCTGTGTACTTTTTTTTAAGGGTACTCCCCTTTAGTAAGCATATCTCTTTTTCTTAAGGTCAGTGTTTTCTCCCCAAACAACTGTTAGATGGATGGAAGAGAAATGTGTATTTTTGAAAGACAATATTGAAAACGTTAAGTTAGTTCTTAATAATACTTGCCCTATTCCCCAGTCAGGCCTCTTCTGAGAATATCTGTCCAAAAGACAACCTAAGTACATGGAAGGAGGTGTCTACCTGCCGTTCCTGCTGACAAGAGGTGCCACTTTGCCTTAGTTTAGAACCTTGGCCTTTAGAGTAGCACAGGCCCATCTGCAATAACAAACTTAAAGGGACAGGACAAGAAAGGGAAACCCCAGAGACCTCTAGCAATCCTCTTCAGCTATCCTCATCAGATCAACCACTGGGGACTCACTGAGGCGTGCATCTTGTCAGTGTTTCCCTGTATCTCCTCAGGCCCCCACCCCATCTTGTCCAGCCCCCACACTTCACACCAGGCTGGAGAAGTGCCCACAGCACCACTACTCTGACACACGGCAGTTCACACTTATCCATGCCTCACTTATCCACACAGCAGTGCTCAGCCCGCCCCACATCCCATCCACACTCATGCTGTAACGTTCTTCCAGTCAACACAGGCCGCTGTCAATGCACCAAACAAAGTTACTCATCCCTCCTCTCCTTTCCTGCTATGCCTTATCTCCTATAATGGTGGCTTAACCCACAAAGATGAGAAAATAAAAGCCCCTCATGTGGTGGCTATCAGGTATTCCCTGACCTAACAAGTGGTGGTTGGAATCTGGGTTCTAGTAAAAATACTCTTTGGTGGTAGTAGGGGAAATACCTTGTTAGTGCTGAAATTTTTCAAAAAGCAATAATGGCTAGTTTGTATTTTTAAGATGATACATTTGGAAACTGAGCAAGGAATCTGAACAGGCAAACCAGAGAATTATAAATCATCAGTAAACATGAAAACAGCTCCATCTCTCTGGCCATTAGGGAAACACAAATTAAACCACCACACCATTGTTCAGCTCTAGAGTCATGTGGGGCGATGGGCACTCCTACCCACCACCGGTAGAAACACCAACTGGTGTAACTACTACAGGGCTACAGCCTGTACCAGCATCTGTACGACGTATGCCACCTGCACTAGGACTGTCAGCGCGCCTCCCGGCCCTGACTTCACCATGTCACCTCCGGAGACCTATCCTGTGGAACCGCACTAAGAAACACGGCCACCAGCCACATGGAGCTATTTAATTAAAACAGAGTTACAGGTTGAGTTCTTCCACTGACCCAGTTACATTTCAAGAGCTCAACAGGCAGGTGAGGCTAGTGGCTACCATATGACATGAGTCATTTCATCATCACAGAAGATTCTACTGGGCAGTGTGGCTGTGGAAATACTCACGAAGTGGACAAAGATATTCAATACAGCACTGTTCAAAGAACAAAAAACTGAATATAAGCAAACAAGTGGAAGAGTTAATGTCACACTTATACTAAAGTATAATAAAAAATATGAGGCAGATCTAACTGAACATAAAGAGGTCTCTGACATCTTTAGTGTATGGCAAAACAAGAAGTACATTTTAACATTATATAAAACATAATTATGTTTTCATGTAATCTCTATAAAGACACTGAAAATTATGGGCAACTGTCAGTAGAAGAAACAGGGTTGAAGGGAAGAATGGGAATTTTCACATTTATGTCAAAACTGAATTTGTTGCAATCAGCATATATTGTGTGAACAAAAGATTTTCAGGTGCTCTTAGAAAGATGATTTACCAGCAAGCCCTGAAGATACGACTGTTTACTCACTTCCTTTTCCAAACTTTATTTCCAGTCTGTGGTTACCATTTTTCCAGCTCTAGGAATCAGAAATACTTTCCTGAGGGTGGGAGGAGTCCCACACGCAGTGGCGCTCCGGCCTCCCGCCGCCTGCGGTGCCCCCTGCTCTCCAGCTGCTGTGCACCACCACCACCACCACAGTGCACAGGACTGCACGGGACGGGGGGCACTGTCCACTCGCCTGCCTGCAGAACAGCCCTCGGGCTGAGGCAAACACAAGTGAGGGGACAGGAGCAGATATCCAGGCACAAGCCCCACCAAAGAGGCTGTTGTTCAGAACAGAATCAGAACCATAGCAGATGTAAGAAAACCACAACCAACAAATCAGAAGAGGAATTATGTTCTAAATGTGACAGGTTTATTTGATTTTACGCTGATGAAAACCAAAGATTCCACTACAGCACAGAGACCAATTATTAAAAGGTCAGGAAAAAGTGGTGTGGGACATGCAGGGTGTGATGTACAAACAGGAGGATCGGTGGTTTCCTTTGTAATGTGACACTACGTTGTCACTGAGGAACACATTAAAATAACACTGCGGAATTCAACTGAAATGTGGCACAAACATGACAACTTCCAGGCATGCCTTCAAGCACCTCCCTTAGGATGGACCTGTGATCTCTAGACTTCAGTGTGAGGAAGATTACAATTCTTTGGAAGAATAAAAAGTTCACACTTTTGAAATTTCACAGAATTTTAAGGCCAAAACATAGTGGGTTCATTTCTCTTCACCTCCAGGGACAAATCTGCTTTCCTCAGAACCACATTAAGCTTCTAATTCAAAGCCCAAGCCAACCTTGTGACCTCCTGCATTGAAGTTCTTTCCATCGATTAAAGCCGACAGGGTCAGTTTGACGCCTAGGAAGAAGAACACACCACATCACTTGTAGCACCAGTAAGAGCCACACTTCCTAGACAGAGTGACGGACCCCATGGCATGACGAACAGTGGGGCCCAGGGGCTACGAGATCACAGCCACGGCTGAGGTAACAGGGTCACCTACCGCCACCTGCCCTGTAAGGAGGGAAGCCTACTGAACTCTGTCAGGGCTAAATGTCATGAGCAATCAGCCGAACCGGTGAGCCAGAGCAACCACAGCATACCTAGGAGTACATAGTTAAGCACAAGTGCTTGATATGTTTTACTTCAAACAACCAAACATTCTGAAATGGTCTGAATCTACCTACAGTGACTGCAGGCTGTTTTACAGGTCATTCTCATTATTCCTCTATCACCTTCTACCTGGCCCCATTATTATTAACTCTTACTTACCTGGTCGAAGGGTCTGAGTGTAACCCAGTCCGATCAGGCTGGCATTATTTACTTTAGCCTAAGATTAGGAGACGCAATAGAAACAGTTAGAAGGCAGTCAATTTCATGATATGTAAGTCCAGTACAATCAGCATTTCATGCATCACATGTCCAAAGCTAAAGCACCTTAAGGCCAATCCAGAACTACTGAAACTGAACATGTAAGTAACAAAAAGACACATCTTTTCAAGTTAATAGGACTAGCAGGGATAGTAGAGACTTTGAGGCAGTGTGGCTGAAGGCCTCAAGCAAAATTCTGAGAACACCATGAGCTGAGCACTATGGTGTGGCCCTCGGCGAGCCACCTGGCCTCCCGTCTGTAAAGGAGGCGAGGGCATGGCTCGCCCCACGGACTGGTTGTATGGCTTAAATGAGAGTGCCTGGCGCAGCGCCTGAAATTTAAGTGCTCAATCAGTGTTACTATTAGTAAGAATTACTAACAGGAAGAGTAATCAAATCCGATGACTTTACAGATAAGAACATTTTGAGGCCAAAAAGAGAAACTGACTTGAGAAGGTCAGACAACAGCCAAATATGGGAGGAACTAGGACGAGAACCCACATATCCTGACTTCAGGTAAAATACTCTGTTCCCTACACACTGACTCGCTCATTAAAGGTAGTACCATGCCAACTACAACCATATCACAATATCAATTCACAACTCAGAAAGCCCAAGAGCACATCTGATCTGGTAGCCCAGCCTTACAGACAGAGAAGTTCTACAATCCAGCTTGTATTTAGCAGCGATGCCAAAACGGGTGTTGTTACTGCCAGCTGTCCAAGCAAGGTTTATTGACGTTTCTATCTTCTCATTAACCTTCTGGTAGATAGACCCTCCAAATTCAGTGCCGTCGTTCCTGCGTCCATGGTGTAAGTGGTAAGTATCCAGTTTGTCCCATTGTTATAACATGGAAACAAATTCTAAGACTATCTAAACAAGGATCTCATTTTTCATCTATAGATTTCAGCAAACTTCTAGCATACATGACTAACAAATAAGCAACTAAATCTAGTTATGTGATTAATAACCACCTAAATAAGATTCATTTACTTGGCTTCTTCACAGGATGTAAATGTCTTAGAGACAATCCAGTTATGCATATAGGCAGACACCAGCCAATCTAAAGGTCTCTTTAAGATGTTCACAGAATTTAGAAACTTAAAGTTGAGCTCAATAGATTCTGTACACACACAAAAAATTAACATATATATTGCAGCACAAGTGCAAAAATAAAGCCAATTCTGGGTTTTATTTGGAACACAGTCCTAGGGTCAGACAGCACCCTCCCTACAATACTTAGGGTGTGCTGCTCCAGAAACATACCTAAATTATTGCTCCAAAGCATCCCAGTAGTCCCTGAGTTTCATGGTTTTCTTGATAATGTTGTTTCATCAATTTTAAAGCCACTGTCTATACATACCACCGCTTGGCTTTATTTTACTTATCCTAAGTGAATTAGAACATCTGGTGGACAGCAATAAAAAACACACAGCTCACCCTTTGCTTTTTCTTCCTGGTACAGTA